AGCAAACCCAGGCCAGCCGCGGGCCAATGCCCCGCTTTGGGGTGTGGACTCCCGTGAGATGGCGCGCCCCTGATCCTACGCTCAGCCGCTCGGGCAGAGAGACAGGCACCATGTCGACCTCTAGATACACGCCACCCGGAGACTAGCCCGGTCGTCACGTCAGGGAACGGCATCTTCTCTCCTCAGACCTCAGCCGCTAACCATTTTAAACGTTGATCACTGGGGCCAGCGTCACCGGGCCCTGGCGCTGGTCCCGGCGGCTGCATTTTTATGAAGCTGGTGGGAGCCCCGGCTGGAGCTCCTGGCTTTGGCCCGGCCCAGCCCGACCGATGTGGTCACTTGGGGAGTGAGTCCGGGAGAAAAATTTCTTTTTCTTTCTCTCCCACTCTCTGTCACTCTGCCTTTCAACAAAAAGGTTGATCACCAGAAAGAAAAAGAAGTAGGAATATCCAAGCAGAAAGCCTGAATTTTGGCCTTGACTCATTTTCCCAAAGGTTTACAGACTTCACGTTAATGCAAGTCTGTCAGCTCGGCACTGAAACTCGGTTCCTCAGGCTGACTCCAGCGCTCCTGGAGAACGGAGACCCAAGAGGGGGCACTCCCTGCACACGCCCCCGCGTGCGGCTCAGGGCCCGCACAGGCATCGGAAACCCCCGGCAGCGCTCACGCGTCCGGTGACCCCCAGTTCGTACGGAACAGGGCGTCACAGCACCCGAAACAGGCACCTCCCTGAGTGTTGTCAAGGGAAACCCACACGCGGGAAAATCAGAACCCAGATGCCCGTGTTCTTCCGCCAGTGAACGGAACTGCACAATCCGTACTTGTAGAAAAATATGATTGTTTAATGATTTCTGTATAAAAGGAAAATAAATCTTATGATACAATTTGATAGACTACATACAAAATTTACTCACAACGTGTGTGTGTTCTGCGCACACAAATCCTATCGCATGTACAGGTTCACGCGGGCAGCATCTTCCCGGAGCATGGGGCCCGCGTGGGGCTCAGAACAGAGGCGACGACAGACGGGGCGGGCAGGCGGCGAATCCTCCCCCGAATTCGCCGGTGCGCTCCAGGGAGCTCCCGCCGTCGCCGGCTCGGGGAGTAGCGCGCCACCCTCGCAAAGCGTTTGCCGTGCGGCCTGCCCTGAGGCCGACCGAGCTGTGCCACTCACGCTAATCCTTAAGCACACAAAACCGCCTCCGCGACACTGGCGTCGCCGCGTGCGTGATGAACAGTCTCTCGACGCGAAGTGCCGGCAGCAGACAGCTCCAGACAGTAACGCCGTCGGGGTTATTCACAGCGGTTCATGTAAATGAAAAACTAGAACACAACCGTGTTTAGAAAAGAAAAACAATAAACTTGCCTTTAAAAAACAATTCCAAAGAAACGCTAACACCAACACACCGTGCAAACAGCACCCACGCTTTCCTGAGCGGTGCTGCCTAGGCTGCCCGGAAGGAACCTGCCAGTGCATCTCGGGAAAGACCCGCGTGTGCGGAGGCCAGGGACCCTAGGGGCCACAGGAGCAGCCTCCGGGGAACCCTGGCCAGAGCGCTGACGACAGTGAGCAGGACGCCTCCGACACCCTCACGGCCCGTGTCCACAAAGGCCACGGCGACATCTCCTTTAAAATCTACAGACTTGGAGGGCAACGGGGGCTGCTCAGAACACCACATGCGAGGCCGACACGAAGCGGCGAGGTGAACGCACGCGCGCGCGGCCACCGACCGCAGCCTGAAGGGCACCGGCTGAAATGAAGCCTTCCAAAGACGCCGGACGAACTGAAAATGGAATTTATTCGGAGTCGGCCACCTTCTGTTTGCACCGTCTGCTCGGGTTTCCTGGCTGCGCCCATCACAGCCGTCACTCACCGCGGCAGCAGGCTCCAGCAGGAACTCAGGTTTGCGGGCCTGCAAACCTGGCCGCTCGGCGATCCGGCACCGACGGCTCTGGCGCCGGGCGGCGTGGGGCTGGCACGCGCCGGGACGCCCGCCTGCTGCTCGGAGCCGTCTAGGCGCTGGCCTTCTGTGAGCTCAGGGTGATGCTGCGGATCATCTTCCGGATCTTCTCCTCGTTCCTGAGGACGCTGGCCTTCACGGCACAGATCTTGTCCTGCTGCTCCCTAATCAGCTGCTCCAGCTCCGCCAGCTCGGCCTTCAGGGGCTCCACGGCCGCGTCGGTGATGCTGGCGGAAAACAACACCGGGCTCAGCGGCGCCGCGCCTCGCTCTCCACCAGCTGCCCGGTGACACCCACACGGCCGCTCGTTCCACCCAGAAAGGCAAAGCCTCGAAGGAGCAGGTCGCTCAGCCTGGCTAACTGCCACCTTTCGGACCACAAAGTGGGGACGGGTCGCACGGGAGACAAGCCGCCGCTTCTCCAGGATGGGCTGGCAGCCCTGGAACCAGGGACGCACAAGGGCCCCGGGCCCAGCCAGGAGGCCAGCAGCACGGCGACCATGGCCCGGCCCGGCCGCTCCTCGCCAGACCAGGAGGGACCTCACAGGCACCGCCGGCTCGCCGCTCAAGACGCTGCCTAGGTGTCGGACTGAGGACTGGGGCAAGTCCAGAATACACTTGGGAAAGTCAAAATTAACTTTTGCCTTTAGCTTTGCAACTCTTGTAACACAAATACAAGCTAAGATCCAACAAGGGACACTCGCTCCCGACCGCGCTCTCTGCACAAAGCCGGCTTGGCGAGGAGGAGGTCGGGAGGCTTCCCAGCACCCTCACCAGAGGCAGGAATGCGGGCCGGTGCTGCTCCAGGGCCCTGTGCTCCCCGACCGCCCCGGTGCTGCACGTTCAGAACTTCGGGGAACCTTCAGGACCAGGCAGACCAGCAACAAAGAGCAGGACTTTCCAACCGCACGACTGACGGCAGAGACTTGGAGGCGGATCCAGCGCGTGTTCCGCAGACACCCCACAGCTGACAGGGCTCCGGGCACCCAGACTCACCATCAAACACCTCCCTGGAGCGCAGCTCACTTTCACTGCCTACATTCTTTTGCAGTCAGTTTTAAATGGGCTTATCTGCATTTTCAGAGTGAAAAATAAAAACAGGGCCGGTGAGGCAGCGCAGCCAAGTTACGCCACCGCCTGTGATGCCTGCATGTGTGACGAGCACGGGTCGGAGTCCCGGCTCCCCACTTCCAACCCGGCCCCCACTAACGCTCCTGGGAAAGCAGTGGAAGGCGCCCAAGAGCCTGGCCCCTGCACTCACCTGGGAGACCCGGATGGAGTCCCAGGCTCCCTACCCTGGCCTGGCCCAGCCCTGCCGCTGTGGCCACCTTGGGGGTGAACCGGTGGGTGGGAGATCCATCTCTCTGTCTCTGTAACTCTGCCTTAATAAATCTTACAATAAAATATTGTCAAATTTTGAACAGTTACCCTTTGGGGGTTCTGGCAAAGCATGGGGGAAAAGGCCAAGTCCTTGGTATTTGCTAACGTCTGAATCCACTCTGCACAGCCACACGAACGCCAGATCTTCTCTGATTGCCACAGAGAAGGCTCACTGAGGGCCAGAGCGCGACACTGGCTCAGCCGCAGCCACAGGCAGCGACTTCAGGGCGAACTGCCCAGGCTCCTGGGGCAGCAGCAGGACCCCCAGACTGCCCCCCTGCTCTGCCCTAGTCCTACCATCCCACCCCATCCCTGCTCCCCCTACAGAGCCCCCTCCCCGCCTCACCTCTGCTCCTCCTGCAGGGCCTGCGCGTGCTGCCGGCTCTCCCCGCGCCACAGCTGCAGCTCACTCTGCATGGCGTCCACGTCCTCCTGCAGGTAGTCCATGATCTTGCCCAGGGGGAGGGCGCTCCTGCACAGGGTCTGGATGGACACGCGGAGCTTCTCCATCTCCTTGCAAACAATGTCCTTCTCCTTCCTCCACGCCGACTCGAAGACGAGCGACTTCTCCTAGGGCCAGGGCACAGGAAGGGCCCTCAGCCCCGGGCTCGACGCACCAGGGCGGCACCCCACAGCGCTGGGAGGGCCAGGGCACAGGAAGGGCCCTCAGCCCCGGGCTCGACGCGCCAGGGCGGCACCCCACAGCGCTGGGAGGGCCAGGGCACAGGAAGGGCCCTCAGCCCCGGGCTCGACGTGCCAGGGCGGCACCCCACAGCGCTGGGTGGGAGACCTTGGGTGGACGGGAGATGCAGGCCAGGCCTTCCTTCTCCAAGGACACAGGGCTCAGCCTGTGCCTGGAACTCGTCTGCAGGTTCAGACTCCAGTTCCCGGCTAGCGGACAGCAGAGCTTGGTGACAGGAGCAGCAGGAGGGAGGCCTGCCCCGCACTGCCTTCCATCCCCAGGGACGGAACCCACACTGCCAGCAGGGAGGAGGAAGAGGCACAAGACAGAGGGAACTGGCGCATGGACAGCAAGGGACGGAGTGGGCAGAGGGCAAGGCAACGGCCCCCTGAAGGACCAGCGTCAGGCTGCACAGGGGGCGGCTGGTCTGGGAGGTCGCAGGGGGGCGGGGCACGCCGCCAGCCCCAGGTGAAGGAGGAAGGGTGCAGAGAGGGCTGGGGAGTATCACTGGGCGTGGGCCAGGCGTCCTGGGCTCCCAGAGAGCCCCTCTTGTCACATACATCTCCAAATTCCAAAGCTGACAGAAGCTGGCAAGAATCAGCAACAGGAGATGTTTTCTGGGAACACTGGCACTGTTTCCTCGGGGCGCCCTCCCTGGACACCCGGCCTGGACTGGCTGAGCTGCCCTTGCCCCGCCCACCTGCAGGACGAGCTGAGCACGCTCTCGCGCCTGACTTCTGACGCTGGTCGGGCCATGAGCTGTGTCCGGAGGCGCTGACAGTATTTGTCAGTACACAAACGACTGATTTATCAGGAACCTGGCTCCACCACTTACTAGCTTGGGCAAGTACAAGGAAAGCCTTGGCATAACGTCTGACACATAGGAAATATTAAATAAATGGGATTAGAAATGAAAGGTAAAACTTACAAACCTAGCAGGCGAGCTCAGTAAGACTGCAAGAGACAATAGAAACGTAAATGGGGCCGGTGCTGAGGTGCAGCGGATTAACGCCCTGGCCTGCAGAGCCGGCATCCCATATGGGCGCTGGTTCAAGACCCGGCTGCTCCTCTTCCCATCCAGCTCTCTGCTGTGGCCTGGGAAAGCAGTGGAAGATGCCCAAGTGCTTGGGCCCCTGCAGGAGACCTGGAAGAAGCTCCTGGCTCCTGATTGGCACAGCTCCAGCAGTTGCGGCCAACTGGGGAGTGAACCATTGGATGGAAGACCTCTCTCTCTCTCTCTCTCTCTCTCTCTCTCTCTCTGCCTCTCCTCTCTTTGTGTAACTCTGACTTTCAAATAAATAAATAAATCTTAAAAAAAAAAAACATAAATGTACAAAATCCTTGGGTTTCTCTCTACTGGCAATGAGCACACGGACAGTGACAGGTGGAAAAGGAAAACTCAACGTGAAAAACACACCAGCTCTTCCCAAATGGAAACACAGGCTAAACACGGATCCTATCAAAAGCCCAGCTACAGAAGGGACGGCCCCAAAGCTTATATGGGAAAGCAAAGGAACTAAAATAACTAAAACATTTTGAAAAAGAAGAACAAAGAAAGACATAGCCATTAGTCCTAAAACATGCATTCATTAGGAGGAAAAAAAAAAAAAACCTAAAGAGGAGGCAGGCACTGAGGGGCAGCAGGTAGGACAGCCACTGGAGGCCGCATCCCACCGCAGTGCGGGACGAGTCCCGGCCCTTCCACTTACAACCTAGCTTCTTTGTTTTTGTTTTTGTTTTGACAGGCAGAGTGGACAGTGAGAGAGAGAGAGACAGAGAGAAAGGTCTTCCTTTGCCGTTGGTTCACCCTCCAATGGCCGCCGCAGCCGGCGCACCGCGCTGATCCGATGGCAGGAGCCAGGTACTTATCCTGGTCTCCCATGGGGTGCAGGGCCCAAGCACTTGGGCCATCCTCCACTGCACTCCCAGGCCACAGCAGAGAGCTGGCCTGGAAGAGGGGCAACCGGGACAGAATCCGGCGCCCCGACCGGGACTAGAACCCGGTGTGCCGGCGCCGCAAGGCGGAGGATTAGCCTAGTGAGCCACGGCGCCGGCCACGACCTAGCTTCTTGCTGGTGCACCTGAGAGGCGATGGAGGAGGACCCGAGTGCTGGGCCCCTGCACCCACATGGGAGACCCAGATGGAGCGCCCGGCTCCTGGCTTCTGCCTGGCCCAGCCTGCTGCAGGCATGTGGGGAGTGAGCCAGCAGGTAGGGGAGCCCTCTCTCTCTCTCTGACACTCTTCCAAATAAATAAATAAACGTTCTATGCAAAGACAAATAACAGTTTCCAACTGAAGAAACTGAAAAAGGGAAACACAGCAGGTAGGACATGAACAGAAGCGGAGCTATCAACAGAAAGGAAACAACGGGTAACCAAGAGAGAGGCAGCAGCTTCAGGCTTTCAGAGAAAGGGGGGGAGAGCCCCACACTCAGTGCACTCTGAACTCTGCCAGTAAATCAAGACAAGGGCCACGCAAGGGAAAGGAAGCCACAGCCCACTTCACTCAAATGTCGATGGGGGCACTAATTCACAACCAGACTCCAACAGCAGACACAAAGCGCAAATCACAGCAATGCTGGGCTGACCCCATGAACGTAAGGAGAATTCAATATCAGAGAAACTGCACACGCCATTAGTTACGTAAAGAAGAAACATAACAGGATCATCTCAAACGCAACACACACTCACAACAAGGCCCTATACTAGCCGGAGAAACAGACCGTTCTCCTGCTGAGTCGCTTAATAACAGAAGGGAAATTCTAGAAGCACCCCATCCAAAGCCGGGAGGGAAGCAGGTTGTCCACCATCATCACTGCCATGCCCACGCATGCAGGCCAAGCCGCAGCGGCCGGACAGCGAGAGAGGAGGAGACAGAACCACCACGCCGCGCCGCGCCCCGCCTGCCGCCCACCCTCCCGAGGCCCAGCCGCCAATGGCGACAACAACCACACCCCCTCACCCCGCCATGCTGTCACCTCACTAAGCCCCCGGCAGCGCTGCTGACCGTGTGCTGGCTTACAGCACAGCAAACAAAAAGCAGCAACAGACGCATTCTTTAAACAAGGGAACGCGGTGAGCCCACAGCATTTCCACCCACCAGCAGCGACTACAAAGCAATTTACAACAGACTAAACTACAGATAAAAACATGCACAAGACGTGAACAAACCACACACGCACACCCTAGGATCATTTACTGGGGGCCAGCCGGGGGAGTCAAGCCACTGCTGGAGACGCCAGCACCCACATCAGTCGAGTCCAGTCCCCGCCAGCACCCGCGTCAGAGTCGAGTCCAGTCCCCGCCAGCACCCGCGTGGAGCATCCAGTCCAGTCCCCGCCAGCACCCACATCAGAGTCGAGTCCAGTCGCCGCCAGCACCAGCGTGGAGCGTCCAGTCCAGTCCCCGCCAGCACCCGCGTGGAGTGTCCAGTCCAGTCCCCGCCAGCACCCGCGTCAGAGTCGAGTCCAGTCCCCACCAGCACCCGCGTGGAACGTCCAGTCCAGTCCCCGCCAGCACCCACATCAGAGTCGAGTCCAGTCCCCGCCAGCACCCGCGTAGAGCGTCCAGTCCAGTCCCCGCCAGCACCCACATCAGAGTCGAGTCCAGTCCCTGCCAGCACCCGCGTGGAGCGTCCAGTCCAGTCCCCGTGAGCACCCGTGT